TACTTGTTGTTTGCGCGCATGTACAATATTTGTTTATGTTTCTATTTGGCAGGCATAAACAATGGTGTTTACGCCCAATTGGCAATTAGGTATACAGTCTGCCGCTTAATTTATAGTTTGCTGCCATATTGTTGGCCCCGAACGCCGCCGCTGAACCGTATACTCGCAGCAATGTGCCAAGTTCAATTAATGACGTCTAATTTCTTCAACTGAAATATGGCAAAAGTTTCATTTGTGATCATTGTGGTAATTAAAAATTGCTTCAGAAGTAATTAACTTATTAATTGCTGCTTCACAAATGATATACGCCGTTATTAATGTATTCGTGTATTACATAAGGAAGAAATTGGAAAATGTTGCACAGCATGTGTCCCAGAAATATGTGTTTGAAACGACTTTGGTTGCGTTTCTCTGCTTTAATGTAAAAAGTTGGTAGGAACTGATAACAATATGTTAGCTAGACTCATAAAAAAAAGTGAAAGCTAACTACCATGAGAAGGAGTCTTCAGCTAAAGACTTGCTGTTTTAATCTCGAATGCGCCGATCAGTGTGTTTAAAATTCACTGTACCAGAAAATTATTATTACAATGTTTGTTTTTTTCCAGTGATTGTTTTGTTAGTCCGAGTCTGTTAAGTTAGTCCACATAAAAATAAAGATGCATATTTATCATCATTAGTATTTCACCTTCTTATGGCAGTCTGGTTTCAAGCAAAATGGCAGAGAAAATATTTTAAAAAGGTATAATTTATCAATACCAGGTGGTAAAAGAAAATCAAAACTATCTATTGACTAGCATAACCATATCTCCTTTGTTCCCTCAAAAAGGAGCAACAAAATTATGTATTATTCACCAAACTCTGTACATGCCGTCAAAAATAATATTGTATATTATTATATTTCACATAAATCATACAATGTCGAAGTTGCTTAAACTTACAAATGTAATTGCAAACATGAATGTATTTGTTGCATATTATAAATGATTAAATAAAGAACAATTTAGAATACATGAAAGTTTGCTTACAATTTTTAAATGCGTCTTACTTTCTAACACTATTAAATTTTTTAATTTGATGCGAATTTAATGTCAGCTTTTTTGAAAAATCGTATAACTAAAGTACCTAACGTTTCACTTTTAAACTGTACAGTATTTTGTTAGAAAAGATCACGGGAAAAGTTTTGTTGCTCGATAAGTTTTGAATTCAATTTTTTAAAAGAATTATTATTTTCTAGGTTCACTCGCGAAATGTATTTTTCAGCTTGAAGCCCACACAAATCGCACTCCGACAGTGAAAGCAAGAATAGAAACAGCTCCTTTCACGCGCGCTGTTATCGCCAAACTGCGAGGCCGCATTCAGCGTCCATCAAGAATTGGCGCGAACAATTCGCGCGCCACTTTCCCCTACTTCCAGTGCGAAAGTTTTCGAACTGGAAGGTATTGGCGGGTAGTGCGCCTGCGTTGTAGGCGGCAAACATATGCAACATGTGGCCGGAATGTAGCAATGTAAACAATATCAGCTGTTCCAGCCGCACTTTCATTTAATTGCTTAGCAGTGTGAGGAAATAAATTGAAATTTTAAAGACCTACACCCACATAGGAATTGTTGTAATTGGCAGGCAGGAATGATAACCAATAAAATTATTTTGTTTATGTTTTAATGTTTGGACAATAACGTAAATAGTTTTTATTAAATACATACAAGTATTTTTCACTTGGTATTTAAATGCGCTCAAAATAAGAAGATATAGATTTAATTTATTTGCAGTTTGTAATTAATGCCGCCTATCTACTTTATGAAAAATGAAATTAAACTCCTGTTTCTACTGTTGAATTCCCTTTCTGATCGAAAAAAACTTTCACATTAAATGAAACTTGTACCAATCAGCAGACATTTGCAGGTAATATTTATATTTTTGAATGCAACATAATTGCATGCTGAATATTTTTAAAGAGTTTGTATTTCATAAATCTCTTGTAGTACAACAATCATTTGGCTATAATAAGTATAAGGATTTTGCTCATATTAGAAATACATATGTACTTGTAGTATCGCATTTTTATTAAATATCACAATCAACTGATTCACATTCATTCATGGTATATACATATGTACATAAAACATAAGCTTACAGCTCAAGCAAAAGAGAAACGAACATAAGTAGAACATAAAAGTCATGCCAATCCGACTTTTAAATACCCTGCATCCATCCTTATTTTTACTTCAACACTTAGGCCTAAATAAACTTTGTTGAATCATCAAATATTTTTTAGACAGCTATGTGTTATAGTTGACCGATTTTTTTTTTAAATGCCAGGCACTATATTAACTCAGAAATACCAATGTTGTGGACTGTTTTTTATGAAACCTTGCAATATTTCCCAACATATCTTCAAACAAGTTGTCCGATGAAAAGTTACTTTAAAATTTTAAAGCTTTAAATCTGCTCTCTGTGTGAGTAAGTTAAGCCTATACTTGTATAATTCAAAAATTATATATATTCATAAGCACGATCTGATAGATATGGCCATATCGTTTCGTCATGTTGATCATATAACATTGGGTGTGTCAAGCCTCTTTTTGCCTGATACAAACATTTGGCGTTTCGACTTTCTTGTATATCCTTTCACCTTCGGGTACAGGGTATAAAAAAGCAAATAAAAAATCCCCTAACGAGTTTAACGTCACGCCTTTTGCATGTCAGTGGATGGGAAATCAGACAGCTGCCATGCCATAAAACTGTCATTATTATTCGCAGCTCATTAGATTTCACGCAAAATGCCAACAAACCTACCAACCTTTATGTTATCAAACACGTGTGTGTGTGTGTGTGTCTGTGTGTCTGTGTGGGATATCAGTCCGATTTAATGCGCCCATGGACATGATAGCGAATATTTGTTTCTAAGCTGTCAAACAAGCATACAAATGATTTTTTTCACTCGCTTTCACATAAACGATGTGCAATTTACGTCTATATGGAAACAAGAGATAAAAATAATAAATGCAAATTTTCCCTCTTATACCAGACATACGTCAAAGTATCACACATTTTATTTGAAATTTCTTCAAAGCATACTTTTAGGCTGCACCATTAAAGTTTCCAGAGCAGATGTCGGCACCTTAACTTTTAATGAATTAATGAATTATTATTTGAATTATTTAATTTCAGGTACTTTTCCGATTTATAGTCATTCTCTAACCCATCTACAAACTACAACTATTGACTATACGGTGAATACCCGGTGTGTGTTACACACTAATAGGGGAAAAAAAGTGTAAAGAACTGCACACAATTTAACTTCAAATAAATACTTATTAATAATCCTATAATATAAGATAATTGTAATGAATATTTTGCCAGCACATTGGCAGTATTATTTTATATAGAACAGTAAGAAAATAAAATGAATTACTCCCAGTGCAACAACACCGAAATCCAAAACGGAGTAAAATTATTAAGTAATGTTTTCAGCATTTCCCAAAAATAACCCAAGTCTGAATAGTGCCTTTAAGTTTGAGTAAATTTGTATCTCAATAAGAGAAACTTGATTTACTCTTGTGTTACTGTTCTTTTAACTAAGCTAAGAGAAGATAAGCTCACAAGTTGAAAACAAGAGAAGAGTGTAACAAAAAAGGTAAACAAAAGACACAATAAAGTAAATTGAAAGCAAAGTCAAATTGAAGGCAAAGTCAAATTGAAAGCAAAGCACAATTGAAAGCTGTTGCATTGGTATTAGTGAGAGTCATAGCGAAAGAGAAAGAGAGAGAGAGAGAGAGAGAGCGCTGGCTAGTAGCCAAGTAAGACACAAACAGTTCAAACGAGTCTGGCAGCCGTTTCTGTTTCTTGTTTGTTCGTGAACGCCGACGTAGACGCACGCACCACGTATTCGCGCGCTTCGCATTTGATAAAAACAAAAACAACAACGCTATATAAAACAATTATTCAGTTATTTATTCAAAATGCTACAACATATAAAGCTTAAATAAAGTGAACATAAAAGCTGATAACGAAATATCATTTTAATAAATTTACATTTCTAAAAAACTATATTAATAATTAGCTAATGCTTGGTTAATAGAATAGCTTAAATCATTTGCTAATCTACATCAATTTTGAATCAATTTCCAATTTGCAGTATGAAATCAAATTTCTCAAATTGAAAGAAAAACGTAGCTAGCTTAACGAATGTAGCCACAACAGAAGCATATATTCGAATCTACATACAAGTATTTGCATGCATACACACATGTAAACTTTAAATACTATTACAAACATACGGCCACATGTGCAATAGCATGCTAGATTACGTATACGCGCTGTTGGGCTGACGCTGACACACGCCCACAAACACATAAAACAACTCGTTCCGCTAACGTTGGGTCGGTCGTATTGTCGTTTCGTCGTTAAACGCCCAACATTCATCGTTTCGTCCTTGCGTCGCTTTGCGTGCCAATCGGAAAACGGAAACGCGTTTCACTACAAAACGTATTCAGAAATTAAAACGCGCGACCCAAAAAAGGAAATAAATAAAACAGCCTACGACAATGTAATGACGACATAAATATGTTAATCTGCGCGCGCCGCACTGATATTATATTATATACAATTCTATATATATATAAATATATACATGTCTGAGCTGGACAAAAAACAAAAAAAAAGAATGTGTGCTATCTATATGCATTTAAAATAAATATTTCATAAACTGTAACGAGGAAAAGAAGTTGAGTTAATGAGCATATCAGAGTAAAACAAATCCAAGAAACACCGAACGAAATCATTTTATGAGTATTTACAATTACAACAAAACAAAATACATATGGAATTATTAATATACTTACATACATAAGCATATTCTTCAGAAAGTACATATGCATATGTTGAAAACAGAAATTTAAATCAAACAATGTTGCTTTTGTATGCAAATTACGAGCAAACAAAAACAAAAACAACAGTAAGAGCAACAGCAGAAACAACAACAACAAGTACAACAACGCGAACATAAACTATGAGTACTACGTCATTGCAGGCCAAATCTTAATGGCACTACACACAACCAAATAGCTGTAAGCTACGTCAGCCACAGTGGACAACAAGCAGAGCGGCAGAGCCCCATTTACTAAGCAAACTCACGTCGATTTTATGGCACACACACACAGAGAGAGAGAGAGAGAGAGACACACCTCTACAACGATACGAGCATGCCAGTCTGTCTATTTGTCTAGTTAAAGCTGCGAACAAATAGAACACGGCAAGGCAAGTGACGGCGCCGACCCAACAACAATAAGAACTGCTACACAGCTACAATAGTAGAACAACAAGGACAGCTTTTCGAGGCATATGCGTGTAGCTTCAAGGGCATTTCAACACACATACACCAGCCAGTAAACAAAACGTGCCATATACACAAGCAACCAACCGAGTAAGCAAGCAAGCCAGGAAACCCCACACAGACGAACACAGACAGCTCACTATCCTGAAAGCGTGCCCAACTCTGGGTGTGACTAGGCCAGAGCCAATTTCATCAACCACATACATATGTAGGAGATTTTGCCATCTATGTCTGCACACGAGTACTATATATGACCCCGCCGCATTAAATATACATCAATCAAGTGCACGACTTCCTTACGTAGCTTCTGCCACATATGCAGGCTTCTATATGTGAGCAGATTGGCATTCAACACGCATTCAATATTTGTCAGGACTCCCTCGCAGCACCATCTTTTTGCTTATAAGCTTACAAGGTTCGATTTCCCGGTCACACAGAAATTAAAATGGCGCGACGCAGGGGCAGCGGCAGAGGAAGTAAGTATTATAAAATTCCAATAATTCTTATTATAAATTAAGTTACATAAATATATTATGAACATAAATATTAAAAAGATTTTTTATTATGAATCGAAATCATGCCTGCATAACAAACCCTTCCTTCTGACAAGCTTCATAAGAGTTTTTTTGTTTTGACTCTTATATACTTTTTATCTTTAAGGAAAATATAAATAAATACATATATCAGAGAATTAATGTCTATAAAAAGTGTCTAGTGATGGAATGGGGTTGCATCGAAAAAAAACATCAACCTAGATTTTCTCAGCTTAGAAAAACCTAAATACCAAATCGGTTGACTCTAGCTCTAATACTTTGGAGGCCTTTGTGTTCATACAGACAGATGGACAGTTAGGCGGGCTCGTCTCAGTAAATTGTTTCGATGTTGTTAACAGAAACAGTTTTTAGAATATTTATCACTTTTGTATAATAAGACAAATCAATAGATATGAACAGTCTGGACGCCAGTTTGATTATTGTGAATTTTTAAAACTTAACGGCGAATGTGTCCAAGGTTTTTGCCAACCCATATATAACTTCAATATTTAAGTCAGATGCTATTCGTATTTAACAACAACCTGAACAGAATTACTTTTTTATTTGCTTCAATATCATTACCAAATATTATGTATATCTATGTCTACTGCAAGCATAGAAGAGACAGACATACGCGATTTTAGAGTTTTAATAGTTCTTTTAAATTTTAATGACTACCATTCAACCAACCTCAATTTGCAGAACAACTAAAACTATTTATTATTTATTTTATACTATTAAATTTCCCATAAACAAAAGAAAATGTTCAACAGGATAAAAATAAAATACCTTGAACCCTTTAAAAGAAGAACGAAATCTATAGCATGTCCTTGTCAAAATTACTTAAATTACATGTGTGGCTCGACATTGAGGACTATTTTGATGAAATATTGTAGAGTGGGCAATACAGTTGTGGCGATGAAGGCAAGTCCTTCTTCCTGCTGCACATATTTGAAAAAGTCTCATAAACCATTTTACCTTTTCGCTAACAGGCCCTGAAAAGATTGATTAATTTCCTCTTTCAACCAGCATTGGGTTTCATAAATAAATGTAAATGCAAAGTATTGCTTCAATATCATATTTTTTCTTGCACTGTTAATTCAATGTTTTCATTTACTGGTTTTTACGACACGGAATACATAAAAGGTTTTTTTTTTGTGAACAGTTTAAACCTGATATGCCAGCTCAAGGACACAACAAGTAACCATAGTAACAAGGACAATGGGAGAACGAAAAATAACTTTTTAGAGACGGCAATGGAAAAGCGCTCCATTTTCATTTGATGCTAAAGCTAAAAGATTGCTTTTGGGCAAGCTATAAAATCAAAAATTGTTTGCACAGACACACATAGCCACAGTAATACACAATAATACTTATACTCGTATGCACACACACACACACACATACTTGTACATATGTATTTGCAAAGTTATAGGAACGTATGTGTGGGGCAAAGTGTCGGTGTGTGCTTGCCTGCACATGTTACTGCCAGGCTTTGGCCATAAAATTTCACAAGAGCAGCTGTCTGTCCGTCGTATAATGGGCGCTGAGCCATGTATCTAGGATGTGCATGGAGGGCAGAGCTTCAATAACTGAAGTAACTTGCAACAGCTCAACACTTTACGCTTTACTGGCTCCCCGACAGTTACGCAAAAGTGTATCAAAGTGCATAACATAATTTCATATCCAGCAACAATATTATCCATGTCAATGCTTGAGTTGGAGTTGCAACATCCATAAACTTGCAGCAAATGTCCTAAGTGGAGAAACGTGCATGTGCGGGCTGAAGAGGAAGTCGCACAAAAGTGTGCAGCTGAGAGAAAATTCAAAAATTCACGTCCACAAAGTGAAATGCTCGACTTTCAAGTATAATTTTATGCCAGGGCGTGTCAGCGCGGCGGGGGAAAACTTGTAGAACTATGTAAAATAAAGCAGAGTACAGAGCAGCAGAGATGGTTTAAAAGGGAGGTCGTTGTTCAGACCTTAAAACTCAACGAAGCGCGCACTTGTTACGCGTCCTACACACACACACACACACACAGACACTCGTAGGAACTCGCAAACAAATGCCAGCACACAGCGAAGCTAACGATATCAACCCCATTGCTTTTAACCCTTCTCTTGAACATGCACAAAGACAGGCAAAGCAGGCAAGGCAAAGTATCTAGAAGATACATTTCGGTCCTACAAAAGCAACAGCAACAGCTACAGCTACAGCTATGTATATAGTATGATTACTTACAAGCGCACTTGCAAAGAGAGTGTGGCGCACAGAGTGGGCGGCGTACATAAAACATGAACCGCCCCGCCTGTGAATCTGCGACCGTACGCCCCAAACGGCAATCCGACAGTTACAATTCATTTCTGGCCAGCGTTTATAATTTTGTTGTAGTTGTTGTTGTTGCTGCTGTTACTGTTGTTGTTGCTGCTGCTGTTACTGTTGCTGCTGCTGCTGCTGTTGCTGCTGCTGTTGCTCGCTGGTGGCGCGCGCGCTGCAAATGTTGGGGAATCCCTTACGTAATCCCCAAGCGCGCGCATACAAAGGCAAACGAACGAACGAACGCACACATACACACACACACACACACACACACATACATACACACGCACACCAGCAGCTCAGAGTTGCAGCTACAAAAAACACGCGAAGCACTTTTCAAGAGAGACACACAGAAAACAAAACAAAAGGAAAGAGGCAAAAAAAAAAAATAAAACACTCACACAGCCAGCAAGCAGCAGCATGTAATGGCCTGAAAATCAAGCTCGTAAAGCGTCATGAACTTTTTGCGCCGCGTGCCACCCACACGAACTTGTTGTCAACAAACAGAAAGAGCGCAGGTTAGAGCGAGAGAGACGCACGCAGAGAGCGCGATAGAGGGAGAGAGAGAAACAAGCTGTGTTGGATCGCCAAAGGGGAGGGGCGATTGCAGGGGCTCGCATGAACCAGACACAGGCACAGATACTGCTACAAAGCTAAATTTTTCTGTGCACACATACACACACACACACACATTCAAATACTCACATTACTGGCATATACTACAAAAGATACTTTTGCGCGTCACTTGCCAAGCACAGCTGTGCGAAGCTATGGGTGTGTGCTCTGTGCGCTGCCCTCTACCCCCCCCCCTGCCCCAGCCGCTTCCTCTGCTTCGTCTGTGTGTTAGACTGTTTCATTTTTGTTGTTGTTGCTAGTATACAAGTAGTTTCTTCTGCCTTGGCTCGTAGTGTTTTCTTGTTACTCATATATTTACTACTTGTAGCGACAATTTGAACTTATTACAAGTACATAGAAATGCTCGCCCGAGGGCAGTATTAAAAGGAGGGAGATTTGTTTATTCATAATATAATAAAGCCTTATAAGCTAAAAATTATCAATAGGAAATTCTAATCAAATTACAATAATATCTAATAAACGCCTCCCCCTCAATGGAGGGAAATTTATTTGCCATACGAACCAACTATTCTAATAAATTACAGATGCTGTACTAGACAGATTCAAATGTCTATTTTAAAATCGAAAATACATAGCAAGGATTCAAACTAAAATGTATGTAACTATAGTATTATAATCATTATATGCAAATATTTTATTTATTTTTATTGATTGAAGGTTTTCAACCAACACACTGAGCTTCTTTAAAGTTCCTCAATAGTTATTTATATGTTTTGCAAAAAAAATATTATATTTTCTTTCCCTAAACTGCAATTTTTGAATTTCAAATTAAATTCGAAATTAGGTATTCTTTTTTAAGACAAAAATTATACATTTTTTTGTACTCAAAGACATATTATTTGGGAATTTAGCGCTTTTGATAACTTATTGAGATTGAACATGGATGTCATTTCACCAATTTTGTATTCTCGTTTCTGATGAAAGGCGTTTTAGTTCGCCAAATACGAACAAAATTAACGTGTCGGTTCAAATGATGTTTTAAAGACGCTTCTGTAACAAATTAATTATAAAAATCTTTGTAATTGATTAGAATTGAGCGTTTAAATTCATTTCCAGTTGTTGTTTTCCTGTACATTAAATGAGTTTGTTTAATTATAATTTTTATATGATCATTTCATTTATAATTCCTTCGCTCTTTCTAATTATGTATATTAAAAACTAAATTAAAACTTTCATAGAAAAATATAGAATGAATATCTAATATAGGTATATTACATCTATCTAATATCTTTTGAAATATTTAAGAACAGTTTCGCGCTTACTTTGCTTATTTTAGCATTTACTGCTGATTGAGGAACGTACATTTATTTGGTAATCGGAACAAAGCGCAATAAGTTCTAGATAGTGCCCCAAAAATTGGGCTAATAATTCACAATTGAACAGTTTTGTTGGGACAAGAAGATAACATTTAGCATAGCCTCTTTACTCTTTTTTATTTTTATTTTTGTATAGCAATGTAGTTGATTAATTTTAAAGCTGAACGCTAACTTCACCTCATCAAAGAAATTCGAATACATTAATTATATATTGAAGGGAACAGATTCCATGCACACAATAAAGCCCACTAACTTTTTTATAAGGAATGCCCGGCTTTATTGTGCCTTCATTTTAGAAGTTTTCGACGCACACCCACTAAGGAGCAATGTGGTGGCATGAGAGCGGGCGAAGGCGAAGAAGATGAACACTCAAATTGTTGAACATAAAATAGAAAACAAGCTTGAGTATTTTTGCGTTTGTATGAGTGTGTATTTATGTAGCAAGCATTGTCGGTATGTCTGCCAGCATTGCCTCCTCGCCTGGATTATGACTTTTGTCTAATTTTTGCTCCTGCTACTTATTGTTTTATCTTTCGGCATTCGTTCCCTGCTCCCCATCTCCATTTGTTTTGCCATTCTGTGTCACTAACTACGTCAAAATTACAATGGACTTTGTGCCCAGCTCGTTGCTAGACCTAAGCATTGTTTCTCCTGCTGGAAGCACTCGTGTA